AAATCATTTGTACATTTTCTCTCTCTCTCACTGTGTGTCTGTGTGTTTTCGCTTTTTCCGGTTTCAATTGTAATTAATCATATTTTTCTCTCTCGCTAACCCTTTATAGTTAGTTAGTTAGTTTGTTTGTGAAAAAATAAAAATCGTTTAAATTCATTTCTGGAAAATTTTCCATCAACCATATACCGGAAACATTGCTCGGACATTGTTTTTGTGTTGAAAATTGATGCTTTTTTCAACAAAAAAAAAAAACATTTCTTGTTTTCAGTACCAAAAGGAGTTATCTTTGTTATTCTGGTTTTCCATTTTTTCTGGTTTGAATTCCCATTTGAAAATGACAAATGTAAATGAGAGAACCAAGAGAGATAACACACACACAGGAGAAAAACAAAGAGTTAATGTTTGAAAAAATTTTTTTTTTGGTGAAATATGGGGGGAAGAGAAGGAATCGGTGGGGGGATATCAAATTCGCGAAAGAAAAAAATGTGTCGCCCAATCACCCCCTCTTCTCTCCCCCTCAAATTTTTTTCCATTGAAAAAAGAAAAATCTCTCTTTCTTTGAATTCAATTCAAATTTGAATTGAAATTCAGTTTTTTTTCAGTTTGGTTCTGGGAGTAGAAAAAAATAACACTACACGACCACAATGACAACGACGACAACGAAAACGAAAAAAAAATTGTTTAATTAAATTTATGTAAATTAAGATTAATTTTCTTTTCAACAGACATTCAGTCAGATTCTACCTAGAAAAGTGAATGAAAATGAAAATGAAAATTTGAATTCCACTTTTTGAAATAATGTAAATTCCCTGTGTTTTTTTTTTGAATTTTTTTGCATTCGAGAATCGCTCTCTCTCTCTCTCTCTTTGGGTTTCGATTTCAATTCTATAGCCATCATCATCATCATCATTTTCAATTTTCTTTTTCTTCAGTTTTTTTTTAATTTCAATTCTAGCCGAAAGAATCGATGGATGAGAACGTTTCGTTGTATGCTGATGATGACAAAAACGAAACAAAAAATTCCCTGCCGGTTTTTTCCCATTACAGCATCACTGTGTTATTTGTGTGTGGGTGTTTTGGAATGAATTTTTTTTTCATTCAAAACCAGAGCAAAGAAAAAAACATGACCTAAATATTTTTCCATTTGAACCAATTTTCAAGAATTTTCATTTTTTTGGTTTCTTTGCAACTGTAAAGTGTTTAAAAAAATTTTGCTAAATTCACATCAGAATCTCACTCTACAAAAGTTTTTTTCATCGTGCCCGTCATTACTATTTTTTTTTCGGAGTTAATTTTCCACCAAATTTGCATAAATTTTCTCGAGGCTTTTACAATTTTCTTTAGTTTTTTTTTTCATTTCATTTCATTTTTTGTTTTTTCATTAATTCATTTTGCAGAATTTCGTTCGTTCGTTCGTCAACGAACGAATCAAGAATCATCAATGGCATGACATTCTCTGAAACAAGAATATTCTGGAACAGTGGATAATAATAATGATGATGATGATGATGATGATGAACGAAGACGAATCATCAAACTACCAAACTAGCGAAAAAAAAATCATGTGCACGCTATTAAAATACATATTACAACAGGCATCAGCAGCAGTACTCGAGGGTAAGTCGATATTCAAGTCAAAATGAAAATTTTTTGTTAATTTTTTTTTCCATCTCCATCATCTCCATCATCTCCCATCTCCGTATCTCTCTCTCCCTCTCTGCTGCCGAAATTTTCATTTTCGTCAAAAAAAATCCAAAAATATAAAATACACTGGGTTTGTGTTTGCAGTTTGTGTTTGTGTTTGTGCAGTGTTTGTGGATACAGTCATTTTCATTAACATTAAAATTTCAAGCTTAATTAGAATAATCGTTTTTAATTACGAAAAACGAGAAACGAAATGAACGAAATGAAATGAAAAAAATGTAAAAAAGTGAAGAGAGAAAACAAACTTCACTTTCGCACACACACACACAGATATAATTTATGCAAAAAAAAAAATTATTGTAGAATTCATTATTTTCCCCACCATCGCCACCACCATNGTGTTTGTGGATACAGTCATTTTCATTAACATTAAAATTTCAAGCTTAATTAGAATAATCGTTTTTAATTACGAAAAACGAACGAACGAAATGAACGAAATGAAATGAAAAAAAATGTAAAAAAGTGAAGAGAGAAAACAAACTTCACTTTCGCACACACACACATAGATATAATTTATGCAAAAAAAAAAATTATTGTAGAATTCATTATTTTCCCCACCATCGCCACCACCATTCCCTTCTCTCTTGCTCTGGATGGAACCCGAGGTGGTGGTGGTGGGGCAGGTAATCATCATCATTTTCATTGAAAATGATGATGACTTGATGATGTAAAAAAGTGTGATAGACTTGAATTTTTCTGTTCTGTTTTTCGATAAAGTGTTTCAAATTTAATTTTTTCTTCTCTCTCTCCCCCTCTCTCTCCCATTCTGGATTCTTTCTTTCTTTCCTTTTTTTTCGTTTGCTAAATTTCGCTTCACTTAATTTTCTAATACCAAAAAAAAAATGACAAATTTGAATTGAAAAAATGAATCATTTTTTTCGTCATTGCAATTATACCTTGTGGTGGTAAATGAATGAACGAAATTCATCAAAAGGTTTCAAATTTCCATTGATTGAAAATGAATGAAATGAAAAAAATGAACTAAAAACTTTTTCATTCATTTTTTGATTGTTTTTGTTCATTGAAATGAAATGTTTGTCAATGTCAATGTTGATGATGATGATAGACGCAATTCATGCATAACACTTTGATACACACCATAATAATCATCATTTGAGAATCAATGTTTTCTGTGGTTTTGTAGTTTTGGTTTTTCAGTTTGGTTTTTTTTTTGTTTTTCAATTTCAATGTTACCAAACTGATAACATTCGGTTATCAATTACCGACGGTGAAATTTTCCGTATGAAAAAATCGTTTTTTTTTCGCTGGTTTCAAGACTGATTCACCACCACCAGCCCCACCATACACTCGCACAGTGATTAACCGATTGTCAATTTGAAATTCTTTCATTTCGTCCAAAAACCGGGAAAGAAATTAGAAACAAGAAAAAATTTCCGAAAAACGAGAGACAGGAAATTTTTTCGTTCGTTCGTTCGTTTCGTTGATTGTAATTAACATGTTTTTTCTCGTTCTCGCATTTCGATTTGATTATTTTGGATTTTACCGAAAAGAAATTCTTTGAATTCAATTCACCAATCCATATTGGGTATCTGCTTATCTCTGTTGGCCTGTCTGCCTTGTAATCATCACGACGGTGATGATGTTTTTTTTACCATTAACCCTCAATCATCATCATCATCATCAGCATTGTAATTTTAATTAATAAACAATTTTAATTATAGAAATTAATTAGAAATTTTGTTGTTGTTGTTGTTGTTTTTCCATTTTCATTTTTTTTACCCATTTCAATAATAATAATGATGATGATCGAACACAAAAATCATCAAAATAATGATGATAACAACAACAACAGAATGAACGAAGGAAAAATTGATTGAATGGAATGATGATGATGATGATGGGATGGCAAAAAAAAGCCACCGTCGCCACCAACACTACCACCATCCAGATAAGCCTATGGTCCTCGGGATCCATCATCATCATTATTATAATGTGTTTTTTTTGGGTTGTTTTGTTCATTGTTTTCCGGTTATTATCATCATCGTCATTAATTTGTTGTTGTTGTTGTTAATGTTGTTTATTTGTTAATTGAAAATTTAACTTAATGACAATTAGCAACAACAACAACAACGATAAAAGCAGCAGAATTATTTTTTACATAATTTTATTTCGATTTTTTTGTTCAATAATCATCGTTCGTCGATGAAAACTAGTGGTGGTGGTGGTGGTGGGAAAAAAACAGAAGAATTTTTATCTTCTTTTCAAAATTCTCTTGGTCTGATTCTTTTTTCTTCTTGTTCATTAAATGAATTACACAGAAATATGATTCACCGATTGAACAATGTGGTTGGAAAGGGTTAAAATAAACGAAAATTCGTTTTCTCTCTACAAATTCTCTCTGTTTGTAAATGGTGGTTTATAAATGTAAATAAAATTAATTTTTTTTCCATTCATTCGTTTTTCGTTGGTTATAAGAGAAAAGAATATAGCTTCAAGACATATTGTCGTTGTTGTTGTTCATTTTATAACCCGGGAACTGCATTGTATATTCTTCTGGTTGTTTGAAACTTTATATTTTAATTTTCGGGTTTGTTCAGCATCGTTCTCTAGTCCTAGGGACCACCACCACCACCACTACACTGCCACATCCAAAATAAAAGTATTTTTCCGTCGGGAATGAACTAGAAAAAAAAACTTTTATTATTATTATCATTTTATTAATTTAGCATCTTTCCAGTGAGAAAGAAAAACGAAAGTAAAAAGCTTAAACAAATAATTAATATTAAAATTTTTAATTATCAAAAAAATCGTTGGTTTAGGTGCCATCGGCATTCCGTTCACATCGACTACTTCAGCATCATTCGAGTCTTATTATCATCAGTTGAAAATGGCGGTGGTGGTGCGATGGTGGTGTGACTGTGTGTCGGTCTGTGTGTGTGTCGGTGTGAAACCGATTCCTTCCTGCAGTGTAAGTCGGGCACGATTGTCGAGAATTGCCAACTGGTTAATGTCATCAACTTTTTCTTCTTTTTTTTTGCCAAAATTACCAAAAAACACTTTTGTTTGCTCAAATTCGGAATTTTAATTTGAAAAAACAAACGTTATGTAAATGATGAAACAGAGAAAAACAAGTGAGAAATTTCAATGATAATGATTTCTGACTCACACTTTACATTTCTTTCCATATACCAAACATCTCATCATAACAATTTTCTACACCGCACAACATCGGAAATCTTTTTTTCACTTTTTTCACTTTTCTCTGATTGTCTCTGATATCATACACCGGTATCCAAGATTCCATCGGTATCCAAGACAATCCGAAAATCAAAATTGAAATAAAATTAGTTATACTCTCTCGCGAGCGCTCGCAATAAGACAAAATGATGGCCTGTTGTTTGTTGACATAAATCATTTTTATTTTTCAACAACAACCGGAATCAAGGTAATATCGCACGCACACCAAAGATCACAAGATTTTTGTGTTTGTAAAAATTTTTGATTATTTGATTTGTAAATTATCATTATAATTAATGTTTTGATCAAGAAAAGACATTCATTTTTCCAACAAAACAAAACAAAATCAAGAAAACAAAACTGTAATGATGGACTATGAAATATCAAAACCATTCATGTTTCCCGTAAAAAAATGGTCACTTATAATATTATGTTCATTGAATATAATCCTGATGATTATTTATGCATCATTATCAAATTTATTAGCAAATCGTTATCTATATGATTATGAAATTGATCGTGATTATCGTATTGACGAGGTTAAGGTAAGTTTTTTTTGATTGATTTTTGATTGATTATTTCTAACATTTTTGGTCATTGATTTTAGATGACTGTCATTATAATATTATTAATGATATCAATATTTTCAATATCATTTTCAATATTGGGTATTGTTGGTGCTGTACGTGAAAGTTTTACAATAACATTTGTATTCACAATATTGGCTATTATAAATTTTGCTGCAACATTGGGTAATTCCATTAAACGTCCATATTATATTCCATGTGCAATTTGGGCTATGTTGATGATCATATCGGCTGTATTTTTAACACGTGATCTGCACCTGTGTAATCAACGAAAACGTAATCGTATCTATCAGAATTGAATTCAGGGAAACAATTTTTTACAAAACTTTCATCAATCAAAATCAAAATCAATTTTCTTTTTATTTATTTCATTTTCAAATTTTATAAATTAATAATAATCTTTTGCACCAAAAAAAAACAGAATATTTTTTACTTTTTTTCTTTGAAAACATAAAAAAGTATTTTCTCTCTAAACATTGCTATTGGAATTTTTTTGTTGTGAAAAAGTCGGAAGAATCAGTTGTTTTTTTGTTGAATCGAGATTAAAGGTAGAACTTGGTTGTTGCCACTGTATTTGTATTTAAAAAGTAACCATCATCATCATAGATTGCGAACCGGATTAAACAACAATATGTTCTGTGAATTCCAATAAATATCCGAACAACGATATACTAATGACCAGATGTATGGAATGAAAAAATCCTCTAAATTTTCCAAAAGAAAATAAAAAAAATTACATCAGATAAATGTTATTGACAAATCAAAAGATATAAGAATACAAACCAGGTGAATCATCCTCTACATAACGAAACATTAATTCGGGAAATTTTTTCATCTTTTCTTTTGGCCAATTTAATGATGCCTGTTTGATTAGTTCGAATATTTCCTCTACTGATAATTGTCGATCTGTTTGTTGAACTGAATCAATTCGTTGTGAAAAATATGTTAATATTGTATCAATATTGCCAATAATATCCTGAAATAATGGCTGATTTAGGAATGGTTCGAATTTTTTTCGATTATATAATAATGTATAGATAAGATTTGGATTGGCAATCATATTTTTTGTCAATGATGCATTAATAATTTCAAGTATGGTACGTAAAACTTCTTCAAACAATGTTATATCTTTAAGATCATCAATCAACGATGATGATTGTTCACCGGTATCAACATCTGATTTGGTTATTGTAGTTGTCGCTGTTGTGTTTTCACCACCACTATTGCTAGTAATTTGATGATGATTACCATCGATACCATTTTGCATTTTCAGTTGTTGCTGCTGAAGTTTAAAATATTTTTTCGATATCTTTTCAAACAAAGCAATCATTTTTTGACAAACAAAATTATGTAAATGTTTAAAATGATTTGACATGTTTGCTAATGTTGCACATAGATTTGTATGAAGAAAACGATCCTATTCCAAACAAAAAATTCATCATTAAAAAAATCAAAATCATCATCAAATAATAATTACCCGATTACGAGACATATTAAAATGTATGGTACGAACAATAATCAAAATGATTAGGCCACCTAATGAAATTTCGGTTAAATTTCTTTCCGTATACCAGGTTATATTTCGAATAGTCTAAATATGAAGGAAAAAAATTAAGAAATTTTCATTCAAACAAATCACAAAAAACTTACAATATCATGAATAATTGAATTATATAAATTATCTTCACTTAAAACCAATAAAATAATTAATGACATATAAATATGATGTGAATTACGATCAGGTGAATTATAAAGTATACGTAATACAGGTATTAAAAATTGATCTAAATCCGTTGTACGACTTAATACAAATGTTTTAAAATGACCATTTTGATGTAATAACATATATAATAATAATGTTGTTTGATCATCATTTAATGTTTGACAAAGTGTTCGATATAATTTACCAAAATCTATTTTAAAACCGGTAATATTTTGTTCATTATTTGTTGTCAATGTTGTTGTTGTTGTTGATGCGGATTGAAGTTCAATACTTGAATCACAACATTGAAATAATGCTTCACGATATGGATTAATATCTTTTGTACAATGATTAGTTAATACTAATAATAATAATAATGATTCACGTGCTAATATTGCTTCTTTAATTAGATCTTCATCAGTTTTTTTACCACCATAACCTAATGTTAATGCATTCCATAATCCATTAGCCAGTCCGAATATAATACTACCAGTGGGCGGAATTGGTGCAGGTAATTGTTGAATAAAATTTTGTAATAATGTTTTTGTCAACAATAAGGCATGTATTGAACATTTTCGTTGCATCACAATAGTATAAATGACTGATTTCATTGATGGTCGTGATAAAAACATTTGAACAGATAATAATACCAGAAAATTTTTACATGATTCAACATGAAGATTATAATTCATATCACTAAATGATAAAAAATCGTTGGAATTAATTCTTATCAATCAATAAGTTAACAAACAATACTTACTCAAGTTTAAGATCAACAAGAATTTCTATTAAGGCATTGATTAGATGTTCAATCATTATTGTACCATTATTATTTTCATCTTGTTGTTGATTTTCCGCTTTAACATTAGTATTGGTGGTCATTCCATTCAATGAATGATTAAGTTTACATTGTTTAATCACATTTTCTTCCGTATATGTTTCAATCATATATTTAAACATATTTCTCATTATAAATGATAGATTATATGCATGCCAAATGACAATATTATTGCTTTTAGAATGGAATTCAATTAATAATTTTAAAAAGAAACAAAACAAAAAACTTACTTAACATTATTATTTTTTTGTGAATTCTTTTTAAGAATATCAACTTTTTGTATGAAAACCTGTATAATTGAACCAAGATTCTGTGATGTTTGATTATTATCCAACCATTTTGATATTAATGGAATAACATTTTCATTCATAAAATTACTATCCGAACTGTGTAACAACAAAAATAAATGAAACATCGGTTACATAACATGACATTCACCAACAAACAAACAATACTCACCAAATAGCATCCAAATTGGTAAATGCAAATGAAAGAAATTCATTCCAAAATTTCGTATCATTTGGATTAATATGTTCATTCGATATTAATCTATTAATATAATCATTTTGTTTGATTGTTTTCAATGAACTTAGATTCGTACCCATCTTTTTCTTTTCTTCTTCGGTTTTTTCCAAACAAAAAACTCACTCTCAAAACACAATTTGTTTACCGATTAATGAGACTATACCTGGAATTTCTTGTTTCGCTAGTAAAAAAAACCACAATAATTCTTTTACATATTTACATCGGGTAAACATAAATAAAGATGATGTCACGATTAGATTTTGTTGTTGTGATGTGGTGCTTTTCTCTCTCTCGTTTTCTCTTGCAATATTTTTTTTTTCCCAAAACACCTCGTTCGATATATCGAACGACAACACCCATACATTCATAAATGCTGTTACGCTGTTTGGTTCGATTTTTCTTGTGTGTTCCATGTGGCCAATTATTTTCGTTTTTTTTCTTGATAAAATTTTCGATTTAAATTGTTTCCCGACCGAAAAAACATGTCGATTTTAGAAGATTATTCATCTAAATATTGTATAAAATGTGATTGTCAACAACATCAACAATCTTGTCAATTATTTCATATCGATAATGATGATCATAATGAATTTGATTTAGTTGAAAATGAATGGCAAATTGATCAATTACAAAATATTCGTCAGCAATTAAATGAATGTAAAGGACAGATTAGTCAATATCCAATCAATGATTGGAATGAACATACAGATTTTACTGAAATTTCTTCCGGAATCAAAGATCACATACATCGTTCAAAACTTTTTCGTCGAAATATTCCANTGGATTAAATTTTATGATATACTTTGTACATTTGATTTAATCGATAACAATGATGATTCAAACAACATTCGTGTATTGTTTCTATGTGAAGCACCTGGTGCATTTATCAATGCTACAAATCATTTTATTAAAAGTCGTTTACCAGATTCCGTAAATTTCGAATGGATTGCCAATACATTGAATCCTTATTATGAACAAATTGATCGTCGAAATTGTATATGGATTGATTGGTTTATTCGTGAACCAAAATGTTTTCAAAATTGGTTTTTTGGTGATTCAAATAAAGGTGATATTTTAGAAGATAGTTACTTGAAATCATTGATTGATTATTTAAAAAAACGTTTTCATTCAAATAATGATGGAACATTTGATTTAATTACCGGTGATGGTGCATTCGATTGTTTTGATTGTTTTGATCGTCAAGAAGAATCTGTATTTTCATTGATCAAAGCCGAAATAAGAATTGCATTAGAAAATCTTCGTAATGGTGGTAATATGGTTATAAAATTTTTTACATTTTTCAATTGTCAAACAATATCATTATTATTTTTATTATCAAATTGTTTTGATAATGTTTATTGTTATAAACCGATTGCAAGTAAAAAAGGAAATTCAGAAATCTATGTAATTGGTAAAGGTTTTCATCGGCAACATTATCTATTGAAATGTTTGGATAAATTGAAAAACAATAATGATCAATCAATAATTATTGATCGAAAATTAATACCGAATGAATTTATTGAACAAATTTGTAAAATTGTTACAAATTTAGCCGTTAAACAAATGCAAGCAATAAATTATAATATCAAACTTTTTGAATCCAAAACACCTGAAATTATTGATGAAATTAAACGATTGAAACAAAGTTTGGCTGATAAATTTTTTCAACAATTTAAATTATTTCCAATCGATAAATCTAAACGAATTGTTTATCCATCTAATTCAACAAAAACAACTATATTTATTGAAAAATTGAAACTATTTTATCAATATTTTATAACAAATAATTGTTATAAAATTGAAGATGAATATTATATTGAAATAATGTGTCGAATTTTATTAAAACCATTATCGATTGATAAGAATCAACCAATCGAATGGAATTCAAGAATTATTATTGATGATAATTTAGATCGATTTCCATCTATACAACCAATTTATGGTCAACAATATGAAGTTATAAATAATTCTCGTTTTGTATGTATGTATTTACTTAAATCATATGAAAATTTAAAATCATTTTCAATTATTATTCATCGACCATTATTTCCAACTGATAAAAATTATAATAATATTATTGATATAGTTAATCGAAAATGCAACGGAACAGCAAATACAGGCAACAAATGGCATTTTATTGATTTATTTGATGATCAAAAAATTTCAATCGATTCAAATGATCATAAAATATGTCAATCACTTTATGAAAATTTTTTTCAATTAAATATTTCATTAAATGAAAATTTAATAATACATATTCGTTCATTATTATCACGTTTATCTGTATCGTTAGTTTTTATATTGACAAAATTTTTTAAAAATTATTTATTTATATCATCATTTGATGGAATTTATTTATTATTTAAAGAATTTGATGTTGATTTAAATAATAACAATAATTTTTATCAACAATTTAAATCATCGATTATTTGGAATCAACAAACAACATTATTGGAATTAATATCCGTACCAATTATACAATCGGATCGAATATTTTTTAATACTATAATTAATGTAAATAATCATAATTTATTGGAACAATTACGATATTCATCAAGAGATTTTATTCGAATGCTAAATGAAAACAGAATGAACATAATATCTAAATAAACAGCATCATCTACACCATCAGCATCATCGACAGCATGATCATGAAACAGGTCTCTCCTCCTTCTTCTAATCATTCATTTTGAACGAGCTTCTTATCATCATTATTCATTCATTTAGAAGATTTGATGATTAACGTGTGTGTGATGTGATGTTTAATGATATCATTTGAAGCAGTGTGGTGTTCGATATTCATTTTTTTCAATGTTATTATTATAGACCATTATTTGTATTGTAAAATGTCCGTCATTCTTGGCCAAAGATTATTGAAACAACAATGGAAAAAAAGTCAAAATTTTCTAAAATTACATGCAAATTTTTTTACCGATCATCTGCCAATTATAACAACAAATGTTGATAGAAATTCTAATGAATTTCAAGTAAGTATCTTTGTTTTTAAAAAAAAAATTCTCATTAATCAATTCCATTATTTATGAAAAAAAAACAGAAACGAGATAATGAAATGCGTACATTGGTTGATGATCTTCGCCAAAAAATTCAACATATATCATTAGGTGGTGATGAACGATCCAGAGCTAATCATGTTAAAAAAGGAAAATTATTAGTACGTGATCGTATCGGGAAATTATTGGATGTTGATTCAAGTTTTTTAGAATTTTCCGCATTAGCTGCATATAAATGTTATGATGAAGAAATAAATGCAGCCGGTATTATTACCGGTATTGGTCGAATATGTGGACAAGAATGTTTAATTATTGCAAATGATGCAACAGTAAAAGCTGGTACATATTATCCATTAACAGTAAAAAAACATCAACGTGCACAAGAAATTGCCCTGGAAAATAATCTACCATGTATATATTTGGTTGATTCGGGTGGTGCAAATCTACCACATCAATCGGAAGTTTTCCCCGATAAATCACATTTCGGTAGATCATTTTATAATCAAGCAAATATGTCGGCAAAAAATATACCACAAATATCAATTGTAATGGGTAGCTGTACAGCTGGTGGTGCTTACATACCGGCAATGTCTGATGAAAGTATCATTGTTAAAAAACATGGTACAATTTTTTTAGCTGGACCACCATTAGTTAAAGCTGCTACCGGGGAAGATATTTCAGCACAAGATTTAGGTGGTGCTGAAATTCATACATCCATATCGGGTGTTAGTGATTATTATGCTGAAAATGATTTGGAAGCATTACATATGGCAAGGAAAATTGTTTCAAATTTAAACCGAAAAAAATTACTACAAGAAATGGATATATTACCAACGGTAGATGAACCATTATATCCAATGGAAGATTTATATGGAATTGTTGGTTCAAATCTAAAACAACCATTCAATATTAAAGAAGTTATTGCCCGAATTCTAGATGGTAGCCGTTTTGATGAATTTAAATTACGTTATGGTGAAACATTAGTAACTGGATTTGGTCATTTATATGGTTATCCTGTTGGTATTGTTGCTAATAATGGTATTTTATTTTCTGAATCAGCATTGAAAGGTGCACATTTTATACAACTTTGTTCAAAAAGAAAAATTCCAATAATTTTCTTACAAAATATTACCGGTTTTATGATTGGTGGTGATGCTGAACGTGGTGGTATTGCTAAAAATGGTGCTAAAATGGTAACTGCTGTTTCTTGTGCACAGGTACCAAAACTAACAATGATTGTTGGTGGTTCATATGGTGCCGGAAATTATGGTATGTGTGGTCGTGCTTATTCACCTAGGTTTTTATATATGTGGCCAAATGCAAGAATTTCGGTAATGGGTGGTGAACAAGCAGCAAATGTTTTAGTAACAATAGCTAAAGATCGTAAACAACGTGAAGGTGGTAAACAATTAACCGACGAAGAAGAAATGAAAATTAAACAACCAATTTTAGAAAAATTTGAACGTGAAGGTCATCCATATTTTGCAAGCGCTAATCTTTGGGATGATGGTATTATTGATCCGGCTGAATCACGTAAAGTGCTTGGACTTAGTTTGAGTGCAGCATTAAATGCACCAATTCCCGAAACAAAATTTGGAATATTTCGAATGTAAAAAAAAGAATGTTTTGTTTTTTTGAATACAATTTTTTTATTATTATACATGTGAATAAGTAGGATTCAATCCACGTATTATGACCAGTGGAGATACAGGACCAAATATTGAAACTTGTCGTTGATTATAAAATAATTGATTTTATTGAAATAAACTGATGACAATTGAGTTGATATGTCTCAATGCATAAACACCTCTGAGTGTTCATCGGTTTAAATACAAAATGTTTGATTAGTTAATTAACGGACTACATTTTAATCAAGTGATTAATACAAACATAACTTAATTAACCTAAATAACATTCAAAAATATTTTTCATATGTTACATGCCCCCCCTTTAGATTGATTTCAGGGTGGCGGGTGAAGTATTAATAGGAATGTGATTAAGGTTTTTNGTTTTGTTTTTTTGAATACAATTTTTTTATTATTATACATGTGAATAAGTAGGATTCAATCCACGTATTATGACCAGTGGAGATACAGGACCAAATATTGAAACTTGTCGTTGATTATAAAATAATTGATTTTATTGAAATAAACTGATGACAATTGAGTTGATATGTCTCAATGCATAAACACCTCTGAGTGTTCATCGGTTTAAATACAAAATGTTTGATTAGTTAATTAACGGACTACATTCCAATCAAGGACAA